GCTGTGCACATTACATGGACGGCTTGGCCATACCACAAATCTATGTACGTATCCCACCCCGCTCAGCACAACTACCCAAACACCCATACTTACACTCATCAACAAACATCACGATGCAAATGCTAGTACGTCTCAACAGCCAACCTTAACAAAAACAACATCAGAAAATGGTGAATGGAAAACAGTCAAATTCCCCCAAAGACGTCTAAGCAAAAGCCATATAAAAAGAGGACAAGTACCATCGCTACAGCACTACAAGGTATACACATCATCAGCGCCTCAGGAGCGCCTACTTTCCACGGCGGCTACCACACCAACGACCACAAGTAAACTCCCTATTGCAACCACCCCAAACCCTACACCAAAAACACAAGTAAAAGACTACACTACCCCTCCAAAAATTTTTAACAATTCTATAATAAACCTACTAAAAGATCCTGAAGACAGTGACATGCTAGATCAAACTTCGCCTCCCGTAAGTCCAACACACTCCCCCACAACATACCGGGTCAGTGAAATCAATTTTTACCAGCCCAGTTCCACAAGCTCAACAAATGGACGCACACAGGGCCCAATCCCAAATTTTGACTAGCCGATCTAAGTCAGCCTCAAAGTCACCTACTCATACATCAATTAACAAGCACGTGGCTGAACAACTTACTCAGCACTCCCCACAAGACAACTCCGTAATTGCACCGTCCAGTCCACCATCCACTACATTGCAAACTATCCACCTTCATGCACTAGAACCAACCACTACTCCTACATTACCTAACAAATCTGGCCCATCTCCATCTACACATTTCAAGAACCCAAATACTCATACCAAGCAAGCCCATGCACACTCACGACCTATACCAATAGACCAGTCACATGTTACTTCCACATTAAATAACCAACCCCAACCCACATCAAATCAATAGCACACTCCAACCTCTCAACTTAAGCACGTCACTGCCCCATCATCATTAATCACCTTGATTAACACTACTACTACAAGCAATGATACTGCAAATCCTAAAGAACATCATGAACAAAACCCCATTAAATTTTCAGTATCGGAGAATAACCTCATTCACAAACACCAACCTACTACAACACCCAATTATCCTCAATACACTCACCATGCAACCTCCGAACCAAACTCCACAACCACCACCCATCTACATCTCCCAATTCCCTTCAATGCAAGCTTACCCACAATTCTGGCACGAAATGAGTCTTCAGGAACATGCACTGACATTTATGATAGAAATAGAGAATCAAGAAGTGATAGTCATGATTCAAAATCCGGCGGACATTGCACAAATAGTTATAGAAGGGATGAGGATGGGAATCGACCTTTACAACCAATATCTGTGGGCAATGCATCAACCATCAACCCTACAAAATCACCACTATATGACACCACTACCACGACTGTACCCACTCATATCCCCACTCCATCAACAGAGCCACTACTCTACAGCACCACAACCATCTAACTTCCCATTCTACCCACCTCAACTACTTGCTCACTCCCTCGTACCATGGATTCAACCACGAGCAGTGATAGATATACCTTCCCCACTCCATGCACAGACTTCCCCATACCAACCAGTTACACCTTTAGCGACTACACTACTATCACCCCCTCACCCTCCTAATGAACTAGAAGAAATAGCACAGCTAGAGGTGGCAGCAACAATGGCAGATATAAGGGAAACACAGCACATCCTATGCATGCTCAATGAGAACAGGTATTACAACCTCAAAGAACAGTACGAAAGAAAAGTAGTAATAATTTGCCCACAAGAGCTAAAAAGTTATTCCCTAAATATAAGGCCAACAACCAACCCAGAGATGGGGAAATATGGGATAATGAAGATTCCATCGATGATCCAACTGACGACACAACAGAGGGAGGGGACACCAAACCCTCCAACGCAGCAAACAAGCAGTAGAAAAATGCAGTTCATCATATGGAATTGCCGGGGAGCTCAATCCTCAGATTTTCGTAGGAACTTTCGTTCACTCATCAACTATCACAACCCAGCAGTAGTAGCACTGCCGGAAACTCACCTCTAGGATCACAACACTTTACGTGATGATTTTGGCTTCAACAGCATGGCACATGCATCTGCAGTAGACCAGTCAGGTGGCATCGCCTTACTATGGCATAGTGAAATTCTCAAGCTGGACCAGGTGGGCGTTATGCACCAGGAAATATATTCCATTGTCCAGGTACCTCCTAACCCTAATACTTGGTTATTCTCCGCTATATATGCAAAAAGTAATGTACATGCACTTAACGTTCTTTGGGAAAATATGCAAGTAATTAACGATACCATACAACTACCTTGATTAGTGGGTGGTGATTTTAACGAAATAGTAAGAGCTTCTGAAAAGTTTGGTGGAAACTCTATTAATAATAAAAAATGTGATAAATTCATACGGTTCCTAAACTATTATCAATTAATTGACCTTAGCTATAGAGGCAATAAATACACTTGGACAAATAAATGCAGGTTTAATCAAAGAATTCTAGAAAGATTAGATAGATGTATAGATAATTACGAATGGCTTAATAAATTCCCATATGCGTACATCCAACATCTACCTAGAACACATTTCGACCATTGCCCGTTACTAATTAACCTTCATAAAATTTTTAAGAGAAACAAAATATTTAGATTTGAAACAATATGGACTTCCCACCCTCAATTCACCTCCCTAATTCGTATAAATTGGACCTAATAGGCATATATTTAATGCCATTACGGACTTCACAGAAGATGTCCAGGAATGGAATAAATCTACGTTTGGAAACATCTTTAAGGAAAAAAAAAGAACCTTTTAGCAAGAATAAATGGTTTACAAAAAATCTCCTAAATACCCTACAAGTACCTTCTTATATTATTTGGAAATTGACCTTATCAACAAATACAACGAAATAATTCGGCTCGAAGAGGACTTCTGGAAGTTAAAATCACGCATAAATTGGTTACAAGATGGAGATAAGAACACAAAATTATTTCGCTTATTAACCATCCAACGGAGACGACGTAATCGCATCATTACACTAATATACTCAGGAGGTAATTGGGTTTTTGACCAATCCAAAGTAAACGAAATGGTAGAGTCTTACTATCAAACGCTTTTTACAACAAATCACACTCAATCCTCCAAATCCTACTCAGTAACCACTTACAACCTACTAAATACTAAGGATCATAAATCCATTAATAGATCACTAACTACGAAAGAAATTCAATTCGCTCTCAACTCATTTCAACCGTTCAAGGCCCCAGGACCTGATGGTCTACATCCATATTTTTATGCAAAATATTGGACGTATACTGCCTCTTCACTGATCTCCTTTTGCCATGAAGTTTTCACTTCTAAATACATTTCCCCAATAGTTAATAAAACTTATTTATGTCTCATTCCAAAAGTTTCGCATCCCTCATCAATTACTCAATATCAACCGATTAGCCTTTGTAACACTCTTTATAAACTAATTACAAAAATTATAGTAAACAGATTAAAGCCTCTATTACATAAGCTTATTAGTCTGGAGCAATATGTTTTTCTTCAAAATCGTCGTGCCTCAGGTAATACAATCATAGTACAGGAAATCCTCAACCATTTCAAATATAAAAAGGCAAAGAAGCAAACTTTCTCCAAAAATTAGATCTAGAGAAAGCCTTTGATCAAATGGAATGGGCTTTCATTAAGGAAACCCTACATTTTTTTAACTTTCCAAATCTATGATCACTCTCATTATGTCATGCATCAACATTTCATTCATCTCCATTCTATTAAACGGAAACCCAACTAAGGGACTGCGTCAAGGTGATCCACTTTCCCCATACATAGTTATATTATTCATGGAACGCCTATCATGCCAAATCCATACCGCAGTTGACTCATAAATTCTATTACACCAGTACCAACCCACACCCCAACCCAAATACTCACCCCTTTCACTCTCTGGCATATCTGGAACTGCCGTAACCAGAAACTTTTCCAACATATGAACGTACTACACTCGCTTCAACAATTATTATCTCCTGCCAATGAATATCACTATCTCATCCAACAACAAAATCCGCGTACTCAAATTAGCAATCTCTACCTCAAATGGGAACCACCTCCTGCCGGCACATTTAAATTAAATACAGACGGCTCCTCAAATGCAACATCTCCTGGATATGGGATCGGAGGGGTATTCAGAAACTCCACCGGCAATTGGATACTAGGATTCGCTGGAAGGAGACCCTACTACAATGGAACTTTGCGCCTTACTCCAAGGCTTACACATTGCATGGCGACATAAACTATTACCACTGAAAATCAATGTCGACTCCACTGAGGTAATTTTTATGTTAAAAATAATAACATGCACCACTCATCACTACTGTCTGAATGCAGATACTTGCTACGGAATTTGGGTAGCCCGCACATCATGCATACATACAGGGAGCAGAACAGCATAGCAGATAGCTTAGCAAAACATGGAGCATCTATGGACTTAGGAGCAACTATGCATCTACTACTGGAGCCGCCAACGTTTTTTAAACAAGAATTGAGTGCGTACCAACAAGGCACTGTCTATTCAAGGAAAACCTCTACTTCGGCCCAGAATGCCCCTCTTAATTTTTGTTAAGATGATCCATCTAATGAATGTATTAATGTAGAACATGATATACCTCAACAAGGCAACTTTCCTACATGCTTTTTTTGTAATTCAGGGAACAATCATGTCAACGCTCCTTGTAATGTAACATGTTTTTAATATAAATTCATTTCGTAGGTTGACCAAAAAATAAGTACTTGGAAACTCCCCATTGACCAATCGAATTTTTCCAAAATGAGAATGCAGTAGGTGAGATAAGGAGTATGTGATTGGTGTCTTGGATTTATTGAGTGATAGTTTTTCAGAGCCATATTTTACTTATACCACCAGAATACCTTATTTTTCAGAACCATATTTAACTAATACGACCAGAGTACTTTCTACTTCTAATAGGCCATGAACTAGATCAGAATTGTTGATGTACGAATCTCATATTGATAGCTGACAATATTGGGACCCTACATATAAGGCGTAGGGTTCTTTTAATGACGTGAGACCTTTTGGAAAATCTGTACGAGCTTAGTCCAAAATGGATAATATCACATCTTATTAAGAATATTTTTGTGTTGGTTAAGCTCAACATGAATCTTTCTTAGCAAGTCCGCAAGAAGTGATCCCACATTTTATCGAGTCTGAATAAACCAAAAGTCTTGAGCGACCGATCCGGCAAAATATCTCAAAAGATAAAGAAGTATCATTAATTTCTTCATACTCATTTCTAATAAATTAGAAAGAGTTGAATTAGGAACCATTATGTTTCATCTGTGTCAGTTTAAGTTTCTTCTTCCATATTGGTTGAATTTACTTTTGCTGTGAGAATCAATGTTTTTTAGTTAGTTTTTCTTGTTTGTCATTCCTACTTTGTCAACCATTTTAACAATTAAGCTCCAAGTGGTTATTTTTTCAGGTCATTTGCTCACTGTTTAACACGGAACAAGATGTGAGTTTTCAGTTTTCTAGAGGTTAATAACTTATTCAGGTTATTATATATTTATGTTTGTTGCAGAATGGTAAAAACTGGTATTTCACCCTGATTGCACTTTAGGTTCAACAAACATGTGTTCATTGTGGGGTTTGTATGGGGAAGTACTATTGCTCAAAATGCAACTTCTTTGATGATGATGTAAGTTTCTGAAGATCATTCTACTCAAACATTCTTGGTTCACTGTATGTCGTATTCTTAATCTTGATAATTTCTATTTTTAGGTTTCCAAGGATCAATACCACTGTGATAAATGCGGAATCTGCAGGATCAAGTCTTACTAATATTGCTCTAAACTTTCAGTTCTTCGATACATTTTCCTAAACGTTTTCATTCATATGAACACAAAGTCAACGATATCTGAGAAATTGACCTGGCCTGGTCATTAAACATTTCATCTGAAATCTCTTATGAGGAGAAATTTTAGTAAGAAATGGCAAAACACTTGCTGGTTAGTTAGCCATAGATGCTTCATCTCGTTCATTAGAATTTACTTGTGGGCTGTGATTGATCATGGATAGTATTGGAGTGAAAATTAGGACATATTACTTAACATGCATGCATTTTATGTTTGAAGTGTGTTATATCATGTCTAATATTTCCCTTTTTTTTTTCATTTCCTGCTCAAAATGCTTAAATGCAGAACTGGTGGCAACAATAATTTCTTTCACTGCAACAGATGTGGTGAGTGAGATGCTTTACTCTTATGGATGAAATCCTATTCTGCAACAAAAGCTCCTACGACCATTAGTGTTTTGTTTAGTTGATTATTTACAGAAACATAAAATCTATTAACCTTTCTTTTTCCCTGCTTTCAGACTGCTGTTATTCAAATATGATGAAGGAATCACATATTTGTGTAGAAAGAGCAATGCACCATAATTGCCCTGTTTGCTTTGAGACAAGTGCTAAATTTGAGGAAAAACGAAATTTAGAAGGTGTAATTGAAATGGCAATTTATTTATTTATTGTCACTTTGTGCAGTATATTTTTGACACTACAAAGAATATTACTGTCTTGCCTTGTGGGCACACAATGCATCTGGAATGTGTGATACAAATAGAACAACATTTCCAGTAAGCTTTCAGTTATTGTTGTTCTTATGTTTTAAGTCCGCTGAAAGATACTGATTACTGTCCTGTTTGCTCAAGATCATATTGTGATATGTCTCGTGTTTGGAAAAAACTAGACCAGGAGTTACGCATATGGCAACCTGATTAAAATTATTTTCAAATATTTTCTTCACACTGATTAACTTCATCTATATTCTAATTCTAGGTTGCGTCGACACCTATGGCAGAAATGTATCAAAACAAGATGGTAAGAGAAAGTCATATCTGCCTTTGAGATTTTACGCAAGTATGATACTCCTATTTTGTGTTTGAATTTCTGCGTCAATTATTCAGGTTTGGATTCTTTGCAATGACTGCGGGGAAACATCAGAGGTTAACTTCCATATTGTCGCACGTAAGTGCCTTAACTGTAAGTCCTATAACACAAGGCAGACGAGAGGAGGCCCAAGTTCATGCTCATCTAGCATTGAAGAAATTGTTAGATGAGGTTTAAGGTTCTTAAATGGAAACCTAAGAGCGCCATTCTGTTTCACGTTGTTGTTGTCAAATGTCAACCATCGATCGTTGTATCAATGTTCAAGGCAAGTTCAAGGCAACATCATTTTAGGGTATTGATTTAGCTGTGAACTTTGTGGATCTTTTGGCTTTATCCTTTACGACAACAATTACGACAACAACAACAATAACTACGCGTCAATCCCAAATAAATTGAGAAACCGAAGTGTATTGAAAATTGGGATGGTTTGGTTCATTGGCCCAACAACACCCTGGGATTAGGTTCACTTCTAGTCTAGAATTAGAAAGAAGACCAAGTAGTCTAAGGCTTGTTAGTGAGCTAGTCTAACCAAAAAACCTTAAGCCATTTTTTCATAATTAGATCTTTTCTTCTTTTCATTCTAAATTACTAATATCGTAATTTGGATGTCAAGTTGATTCAACTCATAAAAAGAAAAAGGAAAAAAGTAAATCTATTATGCGTTTCTCTTGGCTTTCTTCCCAGCAAGCACTTTGCCTTAGCAAAAGATTCAGAGCACAAATCATATCTAGCAAGTTTTTTGCTTTAGCCAAAATAAGAACAATAAAGAGAATTTAACGTTAACAGCCATCTTTGTTACTTCAAATACGAAATTAAAGAATAATGATCTCAAACAGTAGCTCCTGGTGCCATAAGATAGACCGGTCTCTTGTTTAGCGGTTGCATTGGCCTTGCGTTACTTGCAGCATACTGCGATCAAAAGTAGATTATAGTATTAAAAAGTGATGCAAAGCGTACAAGCGAAAAACTCTCCCTATCCAATATTGATAAAAAGAAACTCATCGCAAATGATAGGACAATATAGACACTTGTGGCCCGCAAGGATTGACTCAGTAATTGGTTGGGTGAGTGATTTCCAAATGAGACCTTCCCTTCCCCAACCGTATAAAATACTCAAATATTTTATTGAAGCACTATCTCATTTATTAATAGTCTTTAATTAATATATAGAAAATCAATATTATTCATAGTAAATGACTTCCGTCATATACCTAACACAACTCTTTGTGGAGATAAGGGAACTTACATCATGAACGGCTTCTCTAAGCAATTTAACTTGATCTCTTGAAATAGTCCGTACCTAATTTTGATTCAAATTGCAGTATATATATATATTAAATCATCTATCTTGAACAGAAAAATACGTTAGTAAATGAGGACTTAATTAGTGTCAAGTTGCTACCTTCTTTTTTATAGACCAAATGACTCCTTCAGTGCAAGGAGGAACTGTGAGTGAACCCAAATATCTGTAATATTTTCTGCTACCAATCTTGATTTCTCTGGGATTGATCATGCCTGCGTTTTTCACTTCGTCTTTTTTGTCAATCATAGATGATATATTTCTTATCAACTGCCAAAAAAATAATTGCATTAGAAAATATAACACATTTTCAGCTTTCAAAAAATGAGAAGTTAAATTGGGGTTAGGTTAAATAATTTGATAACTGCATGCAAGAAAGAGTAGGTACGTTTATGTTAAATAATTTGATTAGTAGTTGCGTGAAAGATTTGGTATGTTTAATCTACTCTTCCACTTGAGTAAAAATATCCAATGTTAACATTGACTAGTTTAGATATATTAACCATGCAAGAATCCAAGAACTGCTTTCCTCCCTTAACTTCCTGAATAATTTGATTAGTGGTTACAAGAAAGAGTTAGTAAGTTTAATTTATTATTCCACTTGAAGTAAAACATATATCCAATGTCAACCATCGACAAGTTTAGATATATTAACCGTGCGAAAACTGCTTTCCTTCCTCCGTTTCTGCTTTCATTAAATAAATTGTTAAATATCATTTTCAACTAGTTCTGATCAGTAACAGCTTGTTTGGATGGTTGTTACCCATTGCATCATATTGCATTGTTATCCCAAAACAATGTTTGTTTTGATTGTTTCATTAAAATTGGTTGGATTGTATTGATAAATCCATTGTTCCGGAACAATAAAAAGTCCTATTTTTTGAAACAACCATTTTGGTATGGTAAGACTGTTTCCTATTTTTCTTTCCAATTATGCCTTAACTATTACTCCATAATTTTCTTTTACCCTTTACCTTTTTTTTAAACTCCAAATCTCTCACCTATAACCTACTTTGTCTTTGTCCCTTTTTTTTCGGAACTTCTACCGCTTCCAACTCCAATGTAAAATTGTTAATTTTGTTCCACTAATTTTGTTAGAATTTAATTACTTAATCTATTTATAAGACATATTTGGTGATAAAGTAGTAGAAATGAGTTTTTTTAAATTATTTTTATGCGTAACTTGATAAATTTAATATTTAAACAATTGAGGGTATTTTAATAAACTTATCAGTTACAAGTACAATACGATACAGTCAAACCAAACAGTAAAATGTTATTTAACAACAACAAACAATGCAATCTATTCAAACGTTATATTCATAAAACAATACAATGCATTATAAAATGATGGTAACAACCATCCAAACAAGCTGTAAAAAAAGGGGCTTAATCATGGCAGAAAATCTCGTTTTTATTTCAAAATCTAACGAATTTCTTGAGATGAGTAAGCACAAGAAGCAGATTCACAATTTAAAATTGATAATTGTGGATATATGTGTATTCACTACATCTTTGTCAGTATGGACTTTTACAAATTTATATCTTAAGAAATACTCTTTTTATTTATTTATAAAATTTATGTGTCTTATTCTACTTTTTAGTATGTTTAAAAAAAGAATGTTATTCTCTATAAGTAACTCTTTAATCTAACATAAAACACATGATAAGCTATTAAGCTTAACACTCAAGATTCAAAGCATTTTAGTTCATTATACATATCTTTAATTTAAAGGTCACACGATTTAAAAACTTTTTTTATTCTCTCGGTCAAACTAAAATACATAAAACGAAACTTATGGAGTATATATATATACAGAGGAGCTTTACCTTAGAGAGAAATTTGTCTGGTTTTCCAAACTTGTAGAGGACTCCAATCACAGCTATCTTATTTGTTGCATTTTCGTTTAAGTGAACCATATGCATTTCCATGGCATACCTATCCCAAAATAACATTAAAAAAAAATAGGAATTAAAGTTATCCAAAAAATTTATAAGGATGCTTACCTTCTGCCATTAACAGTATGCTCTGAAGGAGAGTGCCAGTGAGCTTGCTGTAGAGGATACTCTGTTCCATTTATCAAAACAGATCCAGCGTCCCCGTGCCATTGTAACTGCAACAATACCATATATCATTGATTACATCTTTAGTTGAAATTAATAAATCGAATAATTTAAAAAGAAAGAAGAAAAATAATACTATACTATATAATTAATAGGGAAAAAAGAGGTTAAAGTCCGTAAGCATCTTTAAGATTTTCAAAGTGCGTGTAACATTTCTCAAATAAAGAATAAGATTCGTCTTCTATAATTAACAATTTTGAATTGGGATACCGACCCAGCTGTCTCTAAACTTGAGGAAAGAGTTGTTGGAGTGTTGGACAAAGAAACTAAAAAGTCGCAATGTAATGAATAATTGTACAAATAACCACATAGATTATGATGGAATTGGAATAATTAATCCACCAAGTACCGACAAATATGTCACGACAAAACATGTTTGTCGTCAATATTCTTAGAAAATTTGGTCATTTTCTAATTCCCACTTAATTGTCTACTATTCTAAAAATAGATTTTCAATTTTAATTGACCACTTTCGCATATTAAGAGAAAAATAATTTATTTTTTTTATTTTACATTTAATATTAATTAGTCCTTCCAAATCCATTAAAACTATACATCAATTATTATGAGTATCACAGTAAAGATATGCAAAGTTAATGGACAAGTAAAATTAAAGGAGAGTATTTTTTTTTAGAAACTTTGTGCTCATTATTAATATAGATAGTTTTGACCGGATCACAAAGGTCTAGACCAGATCACAAAGATCTATTTTATGCAATCGTATCGTGCATTTTTTCAAGAGACTATTTTTATGATTTAAATTCGTGAGTTCCTGATCACGTAACATCAACTTTAATAAGAGTTTCAGGCGTGAAGAGTTCCGGGGTTCCACGTCCGAAACTCTTATCATTAAAGAAAAACTTTTAGACACGACAATCTTTATGAAAAAACTTGTCCCAAGCTTAGAGTTATAAGTAATGCGTAATTTATATATATTAATTATTTTTAAAAACGTACAATTCAAATAATATTTTTTTTTCGACTAAGCTTTTCAAAACACAGGCATCAAAATACAAATTTCTAGAAATCCTTTCAAATGGACCGGTTTAAAATGTTTTCTGATTGGTTTCCGATGGTATTTGTTTTCAAAAATCAAAAAGAAATTAAGTACACTATTTTTTGTTTTTAAAGTAAGTTCACTAATTATTTCCTCTATATCAATCTGAACAAATGTGCATCTTAACTTTGAAATGCTTACCGAAATGTCATGTCCTCTGTTCTTAACAGTAGCATTGCAGAGCTTGTAATTCCTTTTCTCTGGCTTTCGAATAATTCTAACTCTTTCATTGGATAAATCTATAGGAGACTGCATCTCCCCCTTATTGCAAGCATCCCATTCTTTCTTCAGTTTTCCCCACATTCTTGGACCTTTCTCACTTTTTAAAGCATAATCAAACTCCCTCTCATGCTCTGTATATCACAAACACCATAAACCAAATATCAAACAATGAAAAAAAATAATACGAACAAAAAAAAAGACAGATCGGTGCACTAATTAAGCTATAGTTATGCACGAGCTAAAAAAGGAGTAGACCATATATTAAATCTAGTGTACAAAGCCGTAGACCTAGTGGTCTGATCTTCCCAGACCATTCTCACAGATCGTAGCGAAGCCAGGAATCTTGACAAGGGGATTCAAATAATACAAAAATACCACACTTGGAATTTGAACATGTCATGGGTTTCAAAAACTTATATTTGAACAAAAATTAGTTATTTTTAGCTTATTTACATAGTATAACTTTCCGAGGAAGGGGATTTCAGAAGCTTATTGCACTAATTAAACTGGCTTTTCTTTTATACAGAAAAACATAAAAAATTAGTGTTGCAGCACTTACCAACTTCTTGAGCTCTAATGGATGTTGCAGGGAGGAAGAGAAGGAAATAAATAATGACCAAGAATGATAGATATCTCTGTTCCCTCATTGTAAGAAACTACTTTTTATTTTTATTTTTTTGGAGAAAGGAAAATGTAACAATGAATTAATTGTGACAATCAGAGGGTTTCACCTAGTGGCTTTATGGAAATACAAGTTCGTAATCTGTGTATTTCCCTATGTGGATGCCACATTAGACTTTCCTATCAGTTTCTTCTTTCAAATTTTATTGGATACTACAAAAGACCATATGACAAAAAATTTAAAAAGAAAAGAAACATGTGGAAAAAGAAATGAAAATCAGT